CTCCCGTCTATGGCGAAAACAAAAATCGCCCGCGAGCCTCGGAGAAAAACGGCGAACGACGGCGAAGAAACACCGCAGATAAGGTCAAGTTCCCGGCTTCGGAATATCATTTCAAAATCAAAGCCCAAACTCGTTCAGAAGAAGCTTGTTTTTGAGAAAAAAACGAACCTTAACCCTAGTCGCAAGTCCACCACCAACGCAAGTATTAAGAAGCAAGTTCCATCCTCTGATTCAGATGACTTCCAGTCCGACCACGACCGTAAAAATCCCAAAAACATACGGCGGTACCCTAAATCCAAAATCCCCAATTCCACTGAGAAGGGTAATTCTTCCAACTCCGATTTTGAAGATGAAATTCAACCAGAAGACGTCTCTAGTGAAGAATACTCGAGGGAAGAGGAATCCCCAGTGAAAAATTTCAACAAAAGAAACAAAAAAAGGATTCAAAAAGAGAAAGGGGAAGTAAATGAATCTGAATATGAATGGGCTTATGACAACCCATGTGTTTTTATGATTCGTATAACCCAAACACGAATATTTTCCGATCAAACTACCCAAAAATAACCACTCTTCATAAATGATGCAAGTTGTTGCGCATCTCGACTCTATGTTTTCAAGGTCTTACTCATATGCAAGTAAAGGTGCAAACTAGCCGATAGATTGAGCTCGATCCATTTATTAGTATTAATCAGTTGAACTCGAGTCTTAATGAGACGAGTTGTAGAATATGATATATAAATTTCTATTTTTGAGCCTTAGTGAGTCGATTCGAGCTTTACTAGTCAACTAACCAAGCTTAATCTCGGCTTGTTTGATAAACGAAATGATCGAAGTTCGAGCCTTAATGTATCAAGCCAAGTTTAGAGGATCGGCTCATTTTCTTTAACAGCTCTACAGTGACGGTCTAATTAGTGTGTATGACCTATATATAGTGTTGTTAAATTAAAAGAGTCTGACTCGATTCGCTTCGTAAGGCACGAAAAGAGTATTTTTATATAATTTTCTACAGTTCGGTTCGTTAAAGCTCGAGATTGGCTCGTTAAGGGTCGAATTCGTTCGTTGCTATTGTCAAAACAAGCGTACCTATAGATATTGCATCTATGATTCATTAGCAAAGTTCAATATTCCATGTAAATGCCAAATTCTAAACATATATGTTTTAGAAAAAATAGAATAATAAGAAAAAAAATGTTAAAAGGAAAAGGCGAAAAATATAAAGGCAATCTAAGATGACAGCAAGCAGTCAAAACTTTTTGAAGACCTCTCCACAGTTTTGCCCAACCCATCAACATCACAATAACAAATGGGCAACTCTGAAATATATGAGGCCTTTTTTTTATTAATTATCAGTAAAAGGACCCACCTCTGGATGAACACTAAAATATGGGCCGAACCTTAGATTGGGCCTACATACACTACCAAAGTTTGCAATTTTTTTTTTTTTTTTGTTGTCGACTGAGTGGTATCCCCACATTCATCCGAGGGTCTCACCACGAACTCCTAACCCCCCTTCGGGGTACGGGCCTAACAGGCTACGAGATTCACGCCTCAGAGAGGCGAGACTAATCCACCCAGGAGAAGCAGGGTGTCCCATCCCCACTTTCCACGGTAGTAGGAATCGATCCCTCAACCTCTGTCTTCAACATGACTTTATCACTCCAGCAGGTGCCAGTAGACCGTCTAGATTATTGGATAGGTACGGCCACAATCCAATTTAACTATATATTACAAACAAATAAAAATAGAAAATTTTTCATCAAAGGAAATAAAGATCTTTCGAGGTTCCAAGATAAAGATAAATTTCTTTTCTTACAAATTTTTTTTTTCAAATCAATCTGTTTTTATGTTATTTCGTACTATACAATACAATTTTTTCGGGATCATTTTCCTACGAGAGGGGATGAAAAGGGGCAAGTTTGCACATTTTAATCATGTGAATTTGTCCCAATTTCCCTTTTAGATTTCCCTTCAAGTGTGAACATGTTAGCCACCAAGACACAAGTGAATAGCTGTAATTAAGATGGAAAAAAAAAATATATTTTTGTGGATTTAAATTATTAAATTAGTAAGTCTTTTTGCTTTTGATACAACAGTAATAAATTGAAAAAGAAAATATCAGTATTGTCCAGGCTGTGGACCAAATCCAGTAAAGTACAGTTGTGGGCCAAACACAGTAAAAGTTTCTCTGTAGATGGTAAAAAGTCCAATTATTTTGGCTTCCCTGGAAATTTCTAGTGGGCCAGTTGGGCCCCACCTTTATCAATTCACTCACAAGCCCATTTGTTCAGGAACTTCTTTTGAAATTCCATACAACAGCTCTTATTTTCACAGCGACACAAAATGCCAACACGATCTTATAGAGACAAATGAGGCAACACGAAACATCCAACACTGAAAAGCATGAAATGGATTCTATCGTTTCGAAA